CAAAAGACTAAAATAAAACAAATAACTTCCTCTCTCCTCCATCCACACACACCTGTTCTTGAGCTATATCATGCCAATAAGTTTCTTGTCTCCAATGTGTGGACTACAGGCTAGACTACTTAGAAAAGAGCAGAAAATTCGAAGATCGACTGAAAGAACTGAAGTCTGAAATTCATGCTTTGAAACTAGAAGAAAAACAGTCTGGGCTTTACTCTCATTGGAATGAAGTCCTGGGATCCTTGGATCGCTCTTTAGGAAATGTATGTACCTTAAACACTTGCCTGGCAGTTTTTTCAGCATGAACCATAAAAAGGAATAGTGTGGGTGTGCCAAAGGTAGTTGCTGTATTTCAGTTCAAGGCATGTGCTTTAGTACCCTTGATAGTAAAATATTAGAGGTGTGAACATAGACAATGAAAATTCCTGTCAAAGCAAAATCCAGGAAGTTTTTCCTGGGTGGGATACTGGTACCATAAGCAAAAAATAATCATCTGATTTTACAGGTTATAGTAGCACAGTAAGGGTTTAAGGTTTTGGAGCAAACTAAATTGTTGTAACTTAATACATTTAAATGTAGTTCCTATTAGTTTGCATTACATTCTCATTCCTGTGCTTTGTGGTTGCTAAAAATCATAAAAGTCTCGGTGTATTTTTTTTAAGGCATTGAGGAGCTAAACCCAGATTTTCATCATAAGTTTATGTGTATAAACACTCCAGCTTCTTCCTGAACCAGTGGAAGAATAGGGCTGGTTTTGTCTTTCCAGGTTGTTCCACATGTAAAAATGGCTCTGAGTCAACACTTTTGGAGAGAGAAGGGAGGCTTGGAAGAATTATGAGGGAAGATGGCCTATATTTTTCAGACTATGCATCTGATGTTCTTTTTGGCTTAATGAGTGTTGATATAGAGAGGGCATTAAACTTCCATGTGTTCTCTTCTTTTGAAGACTCCATCATGGATGAAAACCTTTGAAACTGGAGATTCATTGGATATAAATCTTCAAAGACCTTTCTCTGCTTACTCGTTAAATACTACAAGCAGCTGGCCTTGTACCAACAAAATTCAGCACACAGTGCCAGTGGAAAAGTCATCTTTTCAAGCAAATTCCTTGGTTGCTAACAGTGTGGGCACAGGAACCAGAAAACAGATTATAAAGGTAATCAGATTTGTAAGTAAATTCCCAAATGTTGACTAAAAGTTGAGAGGTAAAGAATGTCTGGCTTTAGGGACCTGTTTTGTCTGGCTCTGGCACAGCCTCTCAGATGAGGAATCAGTGCATGGCTGTTGCATGAGTTTGGAGACCAGGCATTGGCACACCCTTTGGGACTGTTTATAACTCAGTTACCTGTTTTTTCTCACTTATGATCTAAGCTGGAATGCAAAGCTGTAAGCCTTAGTAAATGAAACAGATGCCCCTATGCAGTAGGAGGTTCTGTGTTAAATTTTATTTGTATCAGCCAGGCTTGGAAATAAGCATGTGCTCCCATGTATGGAGAGCTTAAAACATACGTGCCTGTCCTCTGGTTTTAAGGGGGAGGGAGTAAGATACCAGTAAGTGCCTAGACTTCCAGCAGTTCAGTTTTCTTCTAGTGTGTTCCCTGTCAGAGTCCCAAAGAGCTAATGAGCTGGGTCTTATGAAAAAACAACCTGCTTTTAAATAGCACTGGAATGGAGACTCTAGTATGCGTTCAAGAAAAACTGTAAGGGCAGGGCAGTCTTGAACAGTGGGAAGGAAATTGGCTTTCTCTTGGTGATGCTAATTGTGCAAGGCATTGGAAGTAAAGGTATTTGCTGGTTTATATGAAGAAAACTGGGGGGTTTTAGGATCAGTTAGAGGCTCTAGTATATAACATTGAAGACTTGAATCTTCAGGGTTTTGTGCTTAGAACTAGAAGGAACACAACTGAGTGTAACAACAGATGAGGAAGCGGCTCTTTCTAATGCAAGTAACAATCAACTTTTATGACTAATTTAATCCAAAGAGCAGGGGTAAGGCAAATATGCTTGTTTTAAGAAGGAAAAAGCTATTGCAGAAAATCTTGCAAAAGGCTGTGGCGTCAGAGGTAAAGGAAGAACTGGACCAAAGGGAGTTACTTTGCTTTAGTGTAGGAGTTCAGGGCAAAACTGATTTTTCCCATTTGATTTACTTGTAGGTTCAGCAGCATGACTCGGATGTGATCTACATTTGAAGTGTCTCATTTCCTTACCAGACTGGTAGAACCTGCTGGCCATCTTTTTGGCTGCTGCAAAATGCACCTATACAAGGAGGACGCTTGCACAGCTCTGTCTGACAGTCAACAGCATAAGAGATATGGTACTGTAGTCATAGTCAGAGCTGTGCTGTTCAGCTTCTGAGCAGCAAACATAAGCTGGGAGCACTAAAACTACCAGTCTCAAATGGCTGGTGTCTTTGGGTACAATGGTAAACATACAAACCCAGAGGAGTGTTGTTTACTACTTATGCACTTTTGAAGAAACTCTTTCTACTTTGCTAAACCTTCCTCCCTCAGGTGTTTTTACACACCAACTCATCAATGTGGTACTCTTATAGAAAGGATGCTAGGCAGCAAGTGTCCGGGAGGTGTCTGGGATGAGAAAATTGTATGTGATCTTGGTGTTTACCTATATGATAGACTAATCCTGGTTTTGGTTTTTTGGTCCATGGGACATGACTCCCACAGAGCTCTGCTCAACATTTTAGTGTTTGCCTGCCAAATATTTTCCTTTTCCTCACCAAACATTTCTTGGTTTATTGATTTGCATTTCTCTGTGAGAAATCTCAGCTTTTTATTCCAGAAGTGGACATCTTGAAATACCTCCTCATTCCTGGGGGAATCCTTTGTTTGGAAAAGCTTCTGTTCTCTCTACAGTTTCTGACTAGATCAAGTGCTTTTGCCACTCACTTTGCATACTTTACCTTGTTTCCCAGTCCTGTGTTATACAGCTTCCAAATTAGAAAAAGACAAAAGATGCTATTGTGTCTGCTAAAGTTGGACTTCTCATGGAGAGGTGCATGCAGCAAAATGCCTGCCTCATTAGTAAAACCTACTTGCATTTTCTGGTTTTGTGTGTGTTTGTGTCTGTTTCACCATAAATCTTCAGTCTGAGGACTTCTGGGGAAGCAGCCAATGTGCAGCTGTAGCTAAAGTATTAGCAAAGTTGAGCATGTGACATGTGATATAAAAATGAATGTTAATGTTAAATATCTTATTCTAAAGGCTAAGATTAAGAAAAATGTTTGATAAAAAGCTTTGATTTCCACTTGCTTGTAACTGCTTTGAAGTGAATCCTATGTCAATATGATAATATTAACAAGACCAGTTCTAAGGACAAACACCCAAATCTCCTCAGTACCCAGCTGCAAGAGTCAGAGCCCAGAGGGGCAGCATCTCTGTGCTCAGACCTCTACCAGTTGTGATAGTTACAGGGCAAAATGCATATAACTGTGACTGGCAAAGCTGTCTCAGCCTCTAGAGCAGTTGCTGCCTCTGCTGTGCAGAGGGAGGGGAGTGTTAATTTTCTTCACACCTCATGTTGTGGGGAAACTCCTCTGCCAGCCCTTAGAGCCCACCCACCCACTGTGGCAATGCGACCAGAACAGGCCTGTCACTTGTGTGAAGCTTCTTGAAAATGAGAAGTAATTGAAAAGCTAAATGTTTTGGGGCAGGTTTGAGCAGTCTTCATCTTCATGGTTGCCATCTTGCCATGGCCACAGCCTGGTGGGGTCTCTCACCAGCGCTGGTTGGCCACCCCTCTGCTCTTACAACCAACACATCTTGGCTGTCAATCTGATTTTTTAAGGAGCTTGGCCTTTTCTTCCTCAGCTGATATGCCAGGAGCATTGTGGCCACCTTGCACTGGGGGTGCTGGAATCATCCCACAGGCATGGGCCCCAAGCACCCACTATCTTTATCCAGAGCTGGGGGAAAACACAGGCTCCATAGCTTTTAAAAGCTCTTGATGTTAAACAGAGTACTCATCTTTGTAAAAACTTAATCTCATCCTATTGCAGCAAATACTCAAACATAAAAATAGCTAAAGCAGGCTCAACTAGTCTCTGGAGGCAGGGACAGTCTTACTGGAAAAGGCTGGGCTAGATTGTCTGCCACATTAAATTATTTAAACTCTGCCCACTTAAGCCTTTTGCAGCTCACCAACCCCCTGCAACCTCTGGAGAGAGACAGGGAACCAGCAGTGAAGGAGAGATACACTCTGCACCCTGTGTTCCTGCCACATGCCCAGAGCTGCCTGTGGCTCCTTCAGTGCTGGGTTGTGTCCAGGGGAAGGGGAGGGGGGCTGGGAGCCATCCCTGCCCTGTGCTGCACAGTCTCCATCAGGCACCCAGGGGTGCTGCCCACCCAGCCTTCTTCAGCAGGAAAATGTCTTCTATTGGGCTTATTTCAGTCAAATGGAGTCTTTGAGGATAAGGAGAGGGCTCATGCTTTCCAAACAGTGACGCTGGTCCCCAGCCTAAAGCAGGGGAGCAGAGGTGGGGGAGCATCCCTGCAGGAGGGGCTGGGGGAGCCCAGCAGGCTCAGGAGGAGGCAGCAGTGGGCCCTGGCAGCCCGGGGGCTGGTCCTCAGGGAGCGGCTGCAGGACAGGGGCAGGGGGGCTTTGGGTGTTCTGCAAGGAAGGACAGGGGGAAGGGGGCTCAGTGCTGGGGCTGGCCATCCTTCAACCCCAGGCTGGGACTGCTTCCTCTTGGGGAGGAGCTGGGGGCATGAGCCTTGGCCCTTTGGGTTTCCCTGCCCTCCCAGGGCCTCCTGGGTCCCCACTGGGAGGCTGAGCCCTGAGGTGACCCTGCTTCTCTCCCCCAGGTTTTACATAATCTCACTGCAGCAGCAGGTCAGGACAGGGCATTTTATTAAACGTGCTGAGAGATGTACAGTAGTGGTTGGAGGGGGGGCAGCAGGGGGGATGGAGCCAGCTCCATGACTTAACAACACGAGAACATACAGATAATTATGGGATGGGAACAAATAGAGCTGATGTGGAAGGCAGATTCATGTAGAGGTGTTGTTCGCCTCCTTCCGCTGGAGGTAGTCCTGGAACCATTTCTTCTTTGGGTCCACGCAGAACTTCTGCCCCTTCAGCGTCTCCACACTGCGGGGGAGAGGGGCTGCGTTAGCTGGGGGGATGCGGGGTCCAGCCATACCCTGGGGCTCCCCCACCAGCCAGGGGATGCCTGCAGCAGCTGCCCACCCATCCCTCCAAAATGCTTTTAGTAATCTCTGAAACCTTGTCTTCCTACCCATTTTTCTGGCTGGCAGCTGAAATGAGGGATTTGGGGGCTATTTGGGATAAAGCAGTGGGGAGGGATGTGCATGTGAAGAGGCAGCACAGGGCACCCCCAGGCACGGTGACCTTTGTGGGGGGCTTGTTTGGAGGAAATCCCCGAAGGCAGAACAACCTGCAGGGACAGTGGGTGAGGAGTGGAGTGCTGAGGAGGGAGGAAGGCTGCCTGGGGGTACTCACCGCACAGCCCTGTAGGAGCAGTGGGAAGGTGTCTCCTGGTAGCTCTTGATGAGGTTGTCTGGGATTTTGTTCTTCAAGAACATCTTCTTGTAGCAGCAGGTGCCGTAGAGGCTGCGGACTGGGAGGAGATGAGAGGGGTTGGTTCTCTCCCACACCTGGTGTGAGGGGGGTGGGTGGTGCCCCGAGGGGGGTGGCTGCTCCCTTGGGGACTTTCCTACTCCCTCCTGCTACAAGGGGTCTCCTCTCGGGGTGATGCTCCTTGCTTTACCCCGAATAGCCCCAATATTTAAGGTAGGCTTCTCCATCCCCTCTCACATCTCCGGTGGTGCTGCTGAGTACCCCCCTCCCCTGCCTGCAGGGGTTATTGCTCAGCTCCCCAGCCAGGGTGCTGGGACCAAAGCCACCCCCAGGACTATTTTCGCTCATTTTGAGCAAGACTAGGGCAGCCCCATGTTAAGGCAGCTGCCAGTGCCCCTCAGCCCCCCCCCCAAACCTGTGGCAGGAGCAGGAATTGAAGCTCTTGCCCCCCTCCCTAACCCCCAAACCCTGTCAGTGCAGGAGCTGAGAACAGTGCTGGGGCAGCCGTGGGGAAGGGCTCAGCGTTGGTACTCACAGGAGGCGCTCTGGCTCTCTGTCCAGAGAGCTGCCAGCAGCATGGTGAGCAGGGCCAAGGTGGAGACCTTCATGTCTGTCCCAGGGCTCGGTCAAGGTCAGCAGCTCTTGCTGACCTACAGTCACCGAGAGCTATCTGCCTCTCCTGCCTGCACCTTGGTGTGATATACCCCACCCAGCCAGGCTTTCCATGACAGCTCGGGACTCCCCCCAGGAAAGAACTGCCTGGAGACATTGATAAAGGGCAACTAGTGAATGGAAATTCCTTCTCTGAGCTCCTTCAGCCCCTGTGGTACCCAGGGGCTGCTGGAAAGTGTGGTGAGTAGCTCCACGTCGCTGGTGATGCGCTGGGGCCGGCAGTCTATTTTGGGTTTGGTTGCTGCCGCTGGCAAACCACACAGGATGATGCTCACGCTTGCAAAAGCCCTGGGTGAGTTTATTTGCAAAAAATACTCATCAGCTCAGCTGCGATGCATCTCTTGCAATTTTGCAGCAGGATGAATGGCTCAGGAGTGGCTGGGCTTGCCCCAGCCCACCCTGAGACCCACTGTGGTGGCGGTGCCTGTCACGGTGCCTGTCACTGCAGCAGTGCCCGTCATGTCTCCTTGTGGCATCCCAAGAGTGTGGGCTGCCAGTGAGGCCTGACCAGGCACCCCCAAGGGGCAGCTCTGGTTGAACTTGGGCTGGGGGTCTCCACTCACTGGGATGGTTGATGAGGAGCACGGGAAGCCCCCTCCTCAGGGGCTGTGCGTGCCTCCTGCTCCTCTCACTGGTGGCTTCCCCAAAATCTACCTGGACACGATTTGGCTCCACGCACCCTCCAAGCCCCCTCGCAGAGACATCATTGGGGCTTTGGCTCTTCCCAGCCCCTTACTGACCCCGGCACTTTCAGATGTTGTTGAACACCCAGGCAGGAAAGCCGGCGGCGCCTCTGTCCACACCCAAGACACTTGCACAGCCAGATGTTTGTATGCAGGAGAGCACATTTAATTCTGTTCACTGTGTTGTAGAAAAATAACCAGAGAGGAGCTGCCCCTTAACCCCTCTGCTGCTGCCAGGCTGGCCAGGGCAGACTGCAAAGGGTACAGGCAGCTGCCTGCATGCAAAGCAGGGCTGAGAGCATGGGGACTGGCAGGGGGTCTGGACCCCGGCACCCCGTGGAGTGGGCACACCCCATCCCAGGCGGGTGCTGGGGATGGCAAAGGCCTTTGGCCTGCGGGGGGTGGTCACTGCAGCGTGATGGGGAGGATGTTCCTGGTGAGCTGCTGTTTCCCGATGGAGTGTCCCCACAGCTGCCTCTGCAAAGGGGTCACCATCATGTGTGTGTCCCCCACCATGGAGGGGACTCCCCATGCTGCCTCTGGCTGCCCCACTAGCTGGGGAGGGAGAAGGAGCTGACTTGGAAGCTCTGCTGGTACTTCTTCACCCAGGCCCTGGCTGCCTGGGTGCATATCTCTTTCCCGTTCTTCAGCCTGAAGCTGGGGCAGAGAAGAGATGTTGTTAGCGGGGTGCTGGTATGGGATCCCCCCGCTGAGCTTCCAAGGGGCTTGGTGGCACAGAGGATCAGGATTGGGCCCACTGAAGCAAGACACAGAGTCCATCAGGGTCTAGAGGGACTCTACCCCCAGGGCTGGGTTTGGGGTACTCACATCACAGCCTGGTGCGGGCACTCGGGGCTGGTGGGGTAGCAGGTGATGATGTTGTCCCTCTTGATCCTTCTCGCCTGGAAGATGAAGCAGCACTTGTCCGGCACAGCTGGGGCTCCTGGGGGAGCAGCACAAACTCGACTTAGCCTGGAGACCCCCACCTCCCACCTCAGCCCTCCTGCCGTGAGCACGGCGGCTCTTTGAAGGGAGCTCCCCTGCACCCCATACACAAAGCAACCCCATCCCTGTAAGCTATAGAGAAGCAGCTTCTGTTTGGTTGCACCAGGCACGGACATGGGTGTTTGGGGCCCTTTGGGGCTGGGAGAGGCTGGGCAGGTGCTTCCGCTTCCCTCCACAGGGCGCCAAAGCAGCAGCTCATGTTCTTGGCTGCACTGAGCTGGGAAAGGCAGAGGCCTGTTTGGGCCTTCCCCAGGGGATTTTGCCTCACTGCAGCTGGCCAAAAAGCCCCCTCTTCCCCCAGCCCCGGCGCATCCCAGCCCTGGACAGCTGGCGGATCGTGGGAAGCAGCGGGGAGATGCCGAGACACGACACACATCCCCACGCACGTCCCCATGCACGTCCCTGCCAGCTGGGCTGTGCGGGCAGCCGCATCCCGCCATGCTGGGCTGGGGACACCCATGGCACCCCCACGGGTGTTTGGGCCACCCTGAGCTGGTGGGGCAGAGCACCCCCATCATCACCCCACTCCCATTAATCTTCTCGGGGAGACACTGGGAGCAGAGGAAAGGGGATGCTTCTGGTCCTGGTCCAGTGCAGCTGCCTGGCTCGATTTTGCCTTCGTGGATCTATCCTTCCCCTCCTGTCCCCCTTCTTACCCTCACACACCAAGGAGTTCCCCAACTGGGGTAAATATGACCTCCTAAGGGTAGAAAATATTCCTGGCAATAAGAAAATGAAACAGAAACACCAGAAAAACAAAAAAAGCGTTTATTAGACTGGGAAAGGCCCCTTTTAAAGCTCCCATGCAAAATGCTGGGATACATCAGGCTGGGCAATTCCAGGGGTGACATTCCTGGCACCCACAGCATCCATCTGCCCCAAGCCCCAGTGCTGGTGTCCACGACATGGGTCAAGTGGACCCTGCAGGTGGGGGATTTTGGAGCACCGAGGACTTTCAGCCCTGGTTGGGTCCCTGGAGCTGTCGGTGCCTGAGCACCCCTGGGTCCCCAGGGCTCACCTGCATCTCAGGAGGAACATCCCCCTCTCCCCTCCCCACATGGACCAGGATGGGGCTGTACTGGGTGTGCACAGACCTGGCACTGGGGCCAAGGATGCCCATGGGGGCTCAGAGGGAAAACCAGGTGCTCCTGCATCTCTTGGTGAATTTAGGAGAAACTAGTCTTCATCCTCCTTCAACTCATCACCCTTCTGTGTGGGATGCAGAGAAGGGCACCGGATGTGGGCAGACCCACTGCTGTGATGAGCAGATCCATTCTCTGCTCTGGGGTGGCCCCCGAGGTCCCCTGTTCCTGCGTGTGGTCTGGACTGAAAAATGCCCTTTCCCTCCCTTTCCCTGTTTCATGGGGAGTTCCTTGCAGCACTCACAGCTCTGGCCTCAGACTTGGCTGCAGAGTGTGGTGAGGAGCAGAGCTGCTGGTGTCAGACCACTGGCCTCAGCCTCTGCCTGTCCTCTCTCCCAGCCCTGGCTTTATTGTCCTCCCTTGCCAGGAACTCCCATGGCTGGGGAAACCTTGCCAGGAAATAGAGGAGATACAGGTGGGGGACCCCAGAAAAGGCTGCCTCATCCTTCCTGCTGCCCCTGGCGTGGGGGTAGTATTGGGGGGAGAAGGGCTGAGCCCCATGGTGGGGAGTGGGAGGTGCTGGCACCTGCAAAACTTGCAGGACAGATCCTGCTCTTGCTGCCAAGAGGCGCAGGGGAAGGCGGCACATCTGGGGGCTGGCAGAGGCACTTGGGACCCCGCTGGGGGCTGAGCTCTCAGTGCTTTCTCCAGAAAATGTGCAGGGGCTCCAAATCTGCCACTGCTGGGGGGGACAAGGATGTCCTGATCCCACCAACCTCACGTGCATGTTGCTCCCTACGGCTACTCTGCATCCCTGGCCAGAGAGCAGAAGCAGCTTCTGGAAAACCCACTGCCTCCACCGGGAGTGTGTCGGTGCTCAGAGCAGCCCCAGCCTCATTTCGCAGCGTGGCTGGGGCTGCCGGAGAGCTGCCGGGCATGTCAGGACACCTCAGCCCCCCTGGAAATGAGGCTCGCCCCTGGATGAGAGTTGCTTTTCCAGCCATGTTCGCAGATGCTTTATTGATGCTGAAGCACTTCTCCTCATTTCAGCTGATCGATAACCCCGGGGGAGGAAGATCTAAGTGCAGCGCCAGCGGGATGGGACTGCAGCTCAGCTGGGGCAGCCACAGCCATGAACATGATCAAAGCAGCTTTGCCAGGTCAGGACTGTTGTCTATAAAGGATTTGTTTGTTTGACATATTCTTCTCCCTTTTAGATCTCTGCCTTGGTCGGATCAGCTTTTCCATTACCTTGCTGAGGCTGATGGTGAGATAACCACTAAATGCACACACTGCATGTCCTGTTACTTTTTTTAAGGTCCTTGCCCTGCCCTGGCCATATGGGACTTTCCCAGCTGCTTGCAGAGGTGGTTTCTATCAAGATGGACCCACCCTCGCCTGTCCCCAGGAAGAGGTGGCTCACACCTCCCACCCCCGCCACCCCTCGCCCCCGCGGAGCCTGGCTGGCTCCTGCCCAGACACCGCAGGGAAAGGCCGGCAGCGATGCTGCACCGTGGGCAGCGGTGCTCCCCGGCTGCAGGAACCTGGTGAAAAAAAGTGGCATCATGTGGCTTTGATGGAGATCTCTGGGGTTTTGGGGCTGTCTTTTGATTTTGGAGTCCATGGCCTGCTCCTGGCTGGTGGCTGTACTGGGGCAGCCCCCCCTTTCCTGGCTACTGATGCTGGGCAGTGGGATGGGGGTCACCCTATGGCCTGCTGGCCCCATAAGAGGGAAAGCATCCCTAATGGGAAAGGTTTTCAACCCAAATAGGTGGGTGGGGGCCTCAAGTCACCCACGGCAGAGCTGATCCCAAAGGCAAAAAGCTTTCCTCCGGTTGATGGTCCTTCCCTGCATCACCTGGAGGAGGGACCCTCAGCACCCATGTCGTGTGCTCAGGCCGCTCATCCCCCAGCGTTTCATCCTCTCGCATCTGCCCCGGGCTGAACTCTCCCTCTTCCCTGGCATTCCCCATCGTGTGCTGCCTGACTCATTTCCCACGTCCTTGGCCCCCGCATCCCAGCTGCCTCCACATGGGGACTGGCCCTGACTGAAAAGCTGATTTCACACCAAACTCCTCTGCTTGAGATTAAAATAATGGCTGGGTTGCTCGAATCATTCGTCCCCTGCTCCCCAACCTGGCGGTGAGCAACTGAAGGAGTTGCTCTCCACACGGAGAGCCTCAAGGACAAATTGTGGCCTTTGTGGTTGGTCTAAGGAATGAATTATCTGCTGAGGGAAGCGCAGAGTGTATCAGAGAGTGCACGTCTCCGCTCCCTCGAAGTCCTGTAGCCAAATTCCCCAGATAAGCCTTAAAGGGGGAGATGTAGACTGAGTAAAATCACATGCTTGGGTTAATGCCTACACTAATTTATGACTATAGCCTAGAGGAAGAGCTAAAAGGCTTATAAGAGAGAAAACAACCAACACCAGATGGAGCCAAAGGCTGGATAATTGCCCAAGAAACAAAAACTTAGGTAAAGCTAAAGGCTGCACGGGGAGATGACAACCATTAACACAATTGGACAAAAAGTTAATGCACCCCATTCCCCCACAACTCACACTCAGAACCCCTGCTCCACATTTTCCCTGTCTCTGATGCAAATGAGTTCATGGAATACTTGCCTCTCTTGGTCTAGTATGCAAATCAGCTGATAAAATGAACTTAAAAGGTGACAGAAAAGTTGCTGGGTGTGCTCCCACCACCCCAGATTGCCAGACCTGAGACAAGGCTGGAATCTGGGGTGGTGATTTGGATTCTTTGACTCTCTTTCTCTCCCTTCCTTTCCTTTCTTTCTTATAGACTTATCAACAAGAGGCTACATCGCTTACTATCCTTTTCCAAGTTTAAGCCATTTCTACCACAGTAAAAACATTTTAACTGGCTGTTTGATGTCGTTTCACCTTAATTTAACTCGAGGGGATCAGGAGACCTTTACAACTCCCTGAGCTCCCAGACTGGGTCATAACACTTGGCCTTTGAAAACCCAGAATTTAAAACTAAAATAAACCCAAAGCACTGTCTGCCTCCTTATCTGCCCCCTGATTTCTGCAGATTGCACATGCCTCATGATTTCCCAGCAACCCAAAAGGCAAGAAGCAGCATTTAATGGTGGAAAAAAAAGAGAAGAAAACCCAAAAGAGCAAGTAAGAATCTCCTAAGATCCTCTGTGCTCTGGAGCTGGAGTCAAAAATAACCACAAAGTTCATACTAGGGACTTGCTAGGTTTTCTGGATTTTCTCCAGGCACAAGACCTGGGTGGGATGTGGGAGGCAGCAATGGGCCGCAGGGATCAGCATCACTGGGACGTGAGGGGCTCTGCTACACCACCCCAATCCCCCCACAACCTGGCCGAGGGTCCCCGTGGTGTTTTTCCCCAGGCTGCATCTCTCAGCAACTACACTCAACTTTTGCAGCATTCGTGACTGTTCTTTTTCACACATATTTTCTGAAACCTCCTGCCCAGGAAGGAAAAGCTGCCCACCAGAAGATGAATTCCCTTCCCCTGGGATCACCCCGGGGTGTTTCTTTGTGCACCCTTCCAGCACCGGTCCAAGGTGGGGGAACAGGGATCAGCGTGGCCGTGCAGCTGCCCTGGAACAGCCGCCCTTTTTCCTCCATGTGAGTCACTGTTGGAAAGTTCCCTAAAATACTTTGGCAAATATTTCCTGGGTCAGCCCGTGGGAAAGACCTTCATCCCTTCCCTCCTGCCGAGTTTGCTGTAGGGAAAATTCCGTGAGAAGTGCTGGAGGTGGCACTGGTGGTGGGGATGAGCACTGGGGGTGCAGAGCTCTCTCGGGGCTCACGGCAGTGGCCAGACTATGAGCCGGACGAGGTGCTGGCCCGTGGGAGCCCTTTGGCCCCGCTGGACGGCTGCTCCGGCTCAGTCGGGCTGTGGGGGGAAGCAGGGTTTGGGGTGCTGCCCTGGGGCACAGCCACAGTGGAGGGGGTTCTGCATCCCTCCAGACCTTTTCCTCCGTTTGGCACAAGATGTTGGTGCTGCCCCAGGAACGGCCGCTGGTGCTGTCCCACTGCAAGGCCTGGCCGGGCCCTGGTGCTCCTGCTCCATCCCCTGGGGTGCCCAGCCAGGACTGGGTGCTGCCTGGGCACTCACAGGGCTCAGGTGTTGTTTCCCCCCCAAGCAGGGACCCACTGGGGCTTCTCCCAACTGATGGGGATGCACCGAGAGCAGCAAGGCCTCAGCCGGCCCTGCGGCCTGAGGTCCTTCTCCTTTGGAGACACCTCGAGGCTCTCAAACACCCCCAGCCCATGGGAGTCGACTGGGGAGAGACCCAGGAGCCTGGAAAAAAAAGGTGGAGGAGGATCATCCCCATGCCCACATCCCACGGCACAGCCACGGCTGCCGCTGGCCGTCCTCCCCCTCCGCATGGTGTGCTTGGGATGGGGAGCAGCTCCTGGGGCCGGCATCCCTCAGGGGGAGCTCAGATGCTCCATGCTGGAAAAAAAGAAATAGGAAAGGGGATGCAGAGGGAAAAGAAGCTGGGAATGAAAGAACTAAAACCCTCCACCAGCCACATGTGGAAAAGGGTTAAAAAAAAAAAACCAACTCAAAAGAGTGTTGACAAGTCTGGAGGCTTCTAGGACCTTGGGTGACCAGAAAAATAACACATCAAAGACCTCACGTATGCCCGAAGACAGATAAAAACTCCGAGCCAAAATGTTCTATGAATATTTAACTACCATCAATATTTAATTAGCAGATAGAGAGAGATTAAGAGCAGAGATCCATCCTCCGTGTGTGCTCCAGCCCTGCTCTGTGGGTGTGTGGGGGCTGGTGGCAGTGGCAGGGGGACAGTTCTCAGTGCCAAGATTGGGGCACAGGCACCCCAAAGGAAGGGAAGAAGCCCCCCAAAAGGAAAGGCTCTGTTTTCCTAGCCCCCCACTGTGGGGCTGGGTGGAAGAGGGAGGGGATAACTTGTGCATGACCTGGGCGCTGCATCTCCAAAACAGCCATCCAACAAAAATCTGCAAAAATGTCTTTCTGGAGGTTCAGGATGATCCAAAAAGAGCATCTTTGCCCACCAGGACCATGGGTCCCCCACTTTCTGATGAATGGCCTGCTAAGGGCAGCAAGCAGAGCTGGAGAACTTCTGCAGAGAGGGTTGGGGTCCAAGTTTTCTCGGGGGACACTCAGAGCCAAGCTGGGAGCTGCGGGGGGCTGCTCAGCCTGGGATGCTCTGTGGGACCCGAGGCCAGTGGGGGATGTTGGAGGTGACTTCTCCCACTACCCTGGGTCCGTCCAGCCTTTGGTCCATGCTCACCCTCCTCCGGGCTTGAAATCCCTCTCCTGCCCTGGGTCCTGTGAAACCCTCTGCCTCTTGGCTGCAGTCAACGGGGTAGAAAGGTGCCTGGCTGCCCCCCAACCTGCCCCCCAGGTTGCCCATGCTGCTCAACTGGGTGCTGAGGCTTCACCCTCGGTGCCTGAACCATGTGCATCTGAGTGTCTAATCTGCTGTTAATCCCTAATTACTTTTACGTGACAGCAATGGCTGGTGCAGGGCAGCAAAGGGGGTGTGTGGAGGGTGTGTGGATACAGTGGTCCCCTCCCAGACCGTGTCCCCATGTCCCCACAGTTGATGAACATCCTGGGTCCCCACGGTCCCGGCATGGGGGTTGGTGCTGGGAGAGAGTCGAGGATGGGGCAGACTCACCTTGGCCATCTCTTGGGCTGGGGGGAGATGTGGGGGGGTCCCACCACAGCTGAACCCTAGGCTTTGGGCCCCCTTCTCCCACGCTTTGAGGTTGTTTCTGGCTCTGGGAGCTGCCTTAGCTGGAGGAGAACTGGAGAGGGCAGTAAAAGCCAAGCCGTGATGGATTTTTCTTGCCTACTTGGCCAGGCACAGGCAGGACCTGGGGGATGCGGGACAAACACATTTGCAGCACGTTTGCAGACCCCCCGAACTCCCCAAATGCTCTCCCCGACCCCTTCTTAGCCCAAACTCTTGCTTGTGCAAGAAAAGCACCTCGTGGACATCACAATTGTGAGGGTGTGTGGATCCAGGTGTTTGGTCTGGTCCTAGTCTTGGAGGTGAGGATGTGGGCTGGGGGCTGTGGTTGGGACGGTGCCAGGGACCCCCCCACTATCTCGTCCCCTCTCTCCATCCAACGCTGATCCCTCCAGCCCACGCCAGCCGGCTGGTGAGCCATGGTGCCACCTCCTTTTGCAGCCAGGGACATCCTGGTGGCTTTTCTCTCCCAGTTGGGGTTTTGTGGCTGACCTCGAGCATCTTCTGAGCCCTGGATGCTGAGAAACTGGAGTGTATTTCATGTTCACAGCCAGCAAACCGCTTTGCCAGACACTTTCCCACCAGCTGGGGAAGGGGTTTTATTTTCCCCTCTTGTTTTTGCTGTATTTGGATCAAAAGTCCCCGATGCCCTCTCTCCTCACAGCAGCAGCCGGGGCAGAGCTAGAGCCCAGGCAAGTAGTGGGAGCCAGCCAGGCTGGGATCGGGCACGGGGTGGTCCCCACCCTCGACCCACCCTGGGGAGGCAGAGCCTGAGGAGCACCTGGAGAATAAAACCAGCCTTGCAAAGCCCAGCGCAGTGTGTTTAATCACCAGCAAAGCTGAGCCCAGCCAGCACAGAACCCAAGACTCCTGTACCCCCCGCAGCAGTGCTGTCACCTCGCGGCAGGCCCTGGCCCGGAGGATGGGGATTATGCTGGATCACTCATGTATAAAATTGGTCTTGGTTCAGCGAGGAGCCCGTCGGCCGAGGAAGCCACGGTGGGCTCTGCTTGCCACCTCGGCATGGAGACCCGCCAGGCCCTGTGCCCACAGCGAGGCGGCGGCGGCTGCAGTTTCCATATCTGGGCCATTCACCACTCGAGACTTTTAGTGCCCAGAGCAACAGCATGTACTGCTGATGAGTTCTTTCTGCTCCAGTAATTACAGTGAGGAATTTGTCAGAACGAGCTTTTTAAAACCTTCTTGTCTTGTTCTGATTTTACCTGGAGTGTAAAAAGTCATTAGTACGGTAAAATGGAGGCTGTGCTAAGCCAGCAAGCCATCCAGATAACGCAGTTTACATCCACTACACACTCAATATGCACAAAAAAAAGAAAAAAGAAAAAAGAAAAAAGAAAAAAGAAGAAAAAAGAATTGCTGGCTTTCTATTTTACCCAGATGGAGTTTTTTGTGATTGAAACGAGCAGGATGAGAAGGCAAGCAGAGAAGGTGGCAGGCCTGTGGGCTGGGCACGGCGAGATGCGTTGCTACCGACGCCTCGTCCTCCCTCCCACAGCTGCATTTCTGGCTGAGGAGGCGTGGAGCTGCCAGTCCCCTCGGTGCTGGGCCAGCCCTGCTGTTGGGGGCAGTTTGGGTTTCACCCACAACCCTTCTCTCAGAAGATTCCCTCCTGCCTGCACACACAAGCCCAGGTTTGTTGGGTACATGTGTTGTGGTTTGGGGTGGCTCCTGCCAATGCTGTCCCCAGACAAACAAGCTGGTGGAAAACTCACCTGGATGATGCCCCAAATCCCCTGGGGCTGCTGTGAGTGTCTTGCTGAGAGGCACGGAGCCCAGGGCAGGGAAAACCCCTCATGATCCCATCATGGCCTGAAAATAGCATCACTTGTGGTTTCACAGCCTCCCAGCCCCTTCAGGCTCCGGTTTCAGGGATATTAGCAGATGTCAGGAGGCATCTGGGGAACTAAGGCTTGAAATGAGCCAGGAGAAAAATCATATCAAAAAGAAAAAAAAGGAGTTGAGGTCAGGAGAAGTTGCAAAGCTGGTGTCAGCACCCTCCCCGCTGTTTTCAGCAGGAAGATGCAGCCCCCGTCTGCCAGCAGCTGGAGTGGGGCTCTGCTCCCAGAGGGTCATCAGCCCCGATGGGGAAGGTGGGTAGATGTGATAAGACTCAGGTCTTTTGTTTTAAACTTTCCAGCCAAAAAATAATCAAAATTTAGCAAAATGTATAATGTGGCGAAGAGGATTTCACCTTACAGACCTCTCCTCAACCTCCCTCCAGGGGATGCTGCCTGGCGGGGTACCACATCCACCTGATGATGCTTCATCACTGTTCTGTCTGAAACACGGCAGGAACTCCCACCCCCCGTGGCCTTTGGTGGGGTTTTTTGTTAATAGAAAGGCGTTTTTTGTTAATAGAAAGGCTTTAAAAAAAAAAAAAAAAAAAGAGACGCTTCTGTCTTGGGCTCTAATCAAAGCATTTTGGTCTGGATTTAATTAAATGATAAATTTCTTGGTGCTGAAGGGAAACTTTTTGATGGGGGCTGCTTGGATTTCAGGGTGTTTCCAGCACCCCCGAAGGCCACTTCACAGCGCAGCAATTGCAAGGCACAGCGGCGCTCTCTGCCCATGCAAAACCCAACCCTTCCCTTTTCCCCCCCTTCTCATTTACTTGCATGAGCAACTTGGCAAAATTCAATCAAGTTTGGAAATGTTTTTAGTGCCACTAGATCTTGTTTTGGGGCACAGAAATCCTGGGGAATAGAGGAACATTGCACCCCTGGTGTTATTTCATGGAGACACAGTGACTCCCAGGTGCCAGGTGGGTATTTGGTGCTTAAACAGGTACCTGGGGAATGATGTTTATAAGCAGGGCAGCAGATTAATCCCCATGCACCACAAAGCTTGGCTTCTGCTTTTCCCCTTCCTTCTCATTCCTTGAGCTATTCTGGGGAGCAAAGACCTATTCTTCCTTTACTGCACCCCAATTCTGAATGCCTGAAGTGCCCTGGTGTGCCATGTACAGCACCTCTGATTAGGCCCTGAACAGAGTGTCAGAAGCATTAAAGGGATGGATTCGGGAGAGTGGTGGTGATGGGAAGGGTCTGGGTGATTTGCTTTCCCCAGCCAGATGTGGGTGTCCCCAAATGGCACCTGCAAATTTGCCCCCTTCCTGAGCCTGGGTGTCACCCTGAGGTGGTGGCAGTTTGGGGTGTTTGGGGTGCCAGTAAAGCTGCCTTTGGTTCTAGTGTTGGAGAAGAGCAGCGTTCATCTGGCTACTATTTTTATTTTGCTGAAAAAACAGCAGTTTTGGGTTGGCAGAGGGAAACGAGACACTAGTTCAAGGTCAAGCTCCAGCAGCTTTGGCCAAAAAAACAGAAAAATAACCCCATGCGGGTGATTCAAAGCATCTGACCTCACCGTCCCAGAAGGGTTTTTCTTTCATCGCTGCCCAAACCTGGAGCCAGAAGCTGCGGTCACAGAGAAGCGCGTGGCCAGGGCACTGGCTGCCCCATGCTCGTGGCTCCCCATAGCTCTGGCTTGGCCCTTGCCTGGTTTTTCTGCTCCTTTTTCTAGCCCCATCCAATTTCCAGCATTTTGGCTCTTGCTCTGCTCTGCAGTGCTGCCCTTGACCCTCCTCTTCCTCCCTCCATCACCAGGATGAGGAGGGTCTGAGGATGCTGCAGGATGGAGCATCCCTCAGGGGTGGCCAGAGGGCTGGTTCTAGTCACTGATTTAACTCCTGTGCTGCAGTTTACTCACTAAAAGAGGAACAGATATCAACCGTCAAGTGCGTAACCTGGGATTCGCTCAGGAGGAGAGGGAGTTCAGTCATTTGCCAGAGGATATTCCCCATCTGCTGCCCCGGTGTGACGCACCCATCCCGTCCCTGTCCCACCCAAACATGCACCCACACCCTGCCCAGACTCTTTGGCATCCCCAGATGATGCACTGGAGGTGGGAGAACGGAGTTAAAGTGGCTGGAAAAATGCTTTTAACAAGCCTTAAAGTCACTTTGCCTCCTCACATTGTTTCCAGTAATGAAGTCACGTTATTACAAAAATCTATTACCATCAAAACCCGTTGATAAACGTCCAATCCATCCGCTGTGAGGTTTAATATTCCTCCTGTAGAGCTTTTCCTTTTCTGCAGCACTGGGCCCTTATCTGCCATCACCCACCTGGGGAGGCTGTGCCGCAATCAGATTGCGTTTGCCATTTGGGTGGGGGGTTTGATCTCTAATCTGCAGGATTTTGGTGTTGGTGTGCTGGAACTGTCGGACACTGCTGGGTTGCAAAGGACCCACACGGGGTGGGGGGTAGGCAGAGAGGCCCCGGTGGTGCTGCACAGGGCTCAAAGGTGTGAGCTGGGACAACCCTTCCCCAAAACCCCCACATTATATATGGAGATTTTATTAGTAGCAAGATTGTTTGCCAGCGGATGAAATGCAGAGCCCTGGTGTGTGCACCAGGATCCAAGGGCTGTTGCAAAGAGCAGCAGCTTTGGGGGGGGCCGTGCGTGTGTGTGTGTGTGTGTGTGCATGCTGCACCCCTGAGATGGGCTGGTGATAGAGCGATAGGAAATGGGATTTCCCCCCAAATTTCTGGCAGTTTTATAAAGGGGAGAGGAGAAATCTGCTTTAGGATGGTTGGAAGCTATTGCTTCTCCCCCCTCCTCAACTTACGGTCAGATGGAAACATGGAGGAATAAGGAAATGAATAAGGAATAAAGAAATAAGGAATTAAGGAATAAGGAATAAAGACTAAGGAAATAAGGAATAAAGACTAGGACAGGGTCCATTCCTGGCCCCAAGAGAGCTCAGCCCCATGGACTGGGACCATCCTGCTGCCGCAGACCCTGACCATCAAAGCATCCTCCCTGTAGCCAGGAGTTGGGGCTGCTCATGCACAGGGGATGCTGCCAGAGCTGCTGCTCACTTCCCGCCTGGGTAAATGGGAGTCCAGGATGAAGACTTAAGTGACAAATTGCCTGCTTTTTAGTGGGGTTAAAAATAGACAGCGGGTTCTTGAGATGGCACTAACGCTCTGGCGGATCTGGCTTGCGGTCAGGCTGATAACGCCGGCGCCGGAGTGTTTTCCAGAGAGCTCTGGGGAGGCAGACGGGGAGACGGTGAGCCCCGCGGTCCCGGGGGGAGCAGGGCTCACCGCGGCGGGGAGGCGAGCCTTGGCCCAGCACCAGCACTGATCAGGGGTTGCCATTATTTGCTATTAAAGACGCAGGGCCTTGGGGGGCTGCTCATGTCCCAGTCTGGGGGGGCTATAGCCCACAGGTCTGGTTGGGTCTTCCTGCTCTCTCTGGGCTCTGCTTTGGGAGTGGGAAGGATTTTCCTCTGGGTTTACCCAGGACTGGCACAGCCACAGGGATCCAGCACCCCAATCATGGCTCTGAACTGGGGAGAGGCTCATTTAGGGGTCCCTCTGCTTGTTTTGGGGTCCTTCTGCTCGTTTTCGGGTCCCTCTGCTCAGCCACAGCCCTTGCTGCTGCCCAAGGGTCTCAGAGGCATGTAACTAAGAGCAGGTAGTGCAAGAGTGGGATGAATAACTAAGGTTGGATAATAACTAAGTGGGATAAATAACTAGTGGCTGGAGCAGAGCTGGGCAGGAGGTTGCACCCCTGCCACTGGCTTTTCCCATGGGGATCGCCCAGTCGAGTGCACCCCTGCCTCCTCCTGCCCGGGGGGGCCGTTCAGCGCCAGCCCTGGCACTGAGCACCTCCATGGAGCCTGCACACTCTCGTTGGCTTCTGGAGGGGGAACATAAATCTTTCAAGGCTGCAAATGTCTTTTTTCTTCTATTCTGGGTGAAGAAAATGGATTTTTTTTTTTTTTGCAACTCTCTTCAATGTCACCGGAATGAAGGGATGAGAGTGGATGCTGTTTGTGCACTGCAGACCCCTCCCTGCACAGACAAGCAGAAACTTGCTGCCCTCCCTTTCCTGCCTTTTGCATAGTCTTATTTTTCTCACTGGTTCTTTTGGGATAGTTTTGTGTATGCCAGGACGATGCCCAGTGAAACGGAGGGAGCTGTGCCGCTGGGGTGCTGTGGCATCCCAGGGGCCAGCCTGGGGTCCCCCTGTGCTGCAGCCTATGGGCACCCTTCAGAGGGTGAGCACAGACCTCCCAAGAGCTGAGATCTGTGCTAAAAGGATGTTGGGATAGTAAAATTAAATCACTGGCTCACAGGGCTGAAACCTCTGGAGAGGCAAAAGGAAGGGCAGAGGGAAGCCTGCAAAGGGGGTTCAGCCCCTTGTGCCATCCATGCTCTGAGGCATGGGGGGACTTGGGCATCCTCGCCCAGAGAGGATGGGGAAGTGCTTTGCCATGGGAGCAAAGAGCCTGGTTGCTTGGGGGGGTGTTGTCTCTCAGGGGGGACATGTTGGTCAGGGCAGTTTTTAACAAATCCCAGTGCTTTGTTGAGTCCTGGCTCTCATGAAACCCTAAATCACTGCTGCTCCCCCAAAAGTCATCTTCAGGCAGGGCTGGGACCAGGGCTGGGAGGAGTGAGTGGGGAAGCTGAAGAGGGGGAAGGCCCAGGGGGCAGGAGGACTGGTGGGGGGCTGCGGTGAGACACCCAGCCTTGCTCACTGATGTGCTGGACGCAGTGGCAAGGCACCCCCCTCTTTATTGCCCTCTGTGGCCTCTGGAAACGACCTGAAATGCAAAAGCATTTTGACTTGTGCACAGGAGTGGGCGAAGGCAAGGTGAAAGGAGGTGACAAAGGACACCCTGCAAGTCGGTGGCAGAGGTTCAGCCCTTTAGCCCACCTCTTGCAGCACTCTCAAAGGCCGTTTGACTTTGAAAAGCATAATCCCTGGCTGGGGAAATGCAGCCCCCACTCTGGCAGCCCCCGGGTGAATGGGGGACCCTCAACCTCCATGTCTGGCTCTGGGAGAGGAAGATGAGGCTGAGGAAGGATACAGTTGTCCATCAGACCTGACCAAGAAGGTCCAAAAAGTGCTGCAGACATCAGAAAAACCATTCCCCATTAGCAGGATCGATGTAAAGGATACATCAGATACGTCACCGAGGACGTCAGGGACTTTAATTGAGATGTGGCCACCTGTAGCCAAACACTGAATCATCTTTGGTCAGATACCATCGAGGTCAGGAGCGTTTCATTCAAAAACACGCTGAGCTCTAATTGAATTTGTTGCTGTAAGACGTAGACACCAGCTTTGGCCACAAAATTGTGATCCTTTCCCTGTCTGTCCCTGAGACAGCCCAGCAGCTATCCTGCTGGAAAATCCTCCCTCTCTCCTGACCCTTCCCCATCCTTCCCTTCCATGTCGGGACTTTCCAGGGGCTTTACTGTATTTTAAACAGCTGCTGCATATTGAGCAGAGAAATGACGTTGAAGGAGGCTCTTTTGACCCTGGTGCTATAATTGTTCCAGACTCCAGCAATGAGTGTGGTTCAAACACGATTTTCCCCGACGGCTCCCGGCCCTGGCTGGCAGCTCCTTTCCGTTGGATACAGGATTGCCCGCGGTCCTGGAGGCTCAGCGCAGGTGATGGGGGATGCAGGCAAAGCCCTTTGCATGGGTTTTCCAGCAGGTTTTTGCATGCTGCAAAGGCCCAGGTGCAAAATGAGGGTTTTTCCTGCTGGTTTCAGGGATATTTTGGGTAAGCCCCAATTTTTGCTGCCTCTGAGGCTGCCGCTGCCCACTCCCTGCCAGCTCGAATCTGTGCTGGCCATGACACCGGTCCTTTGGGTGCAGGCAGCAGGTTGCTGTTGGCCCCGGAGAGCAAAGCAAGGGGCCAAGCCCAGCCCCTGCTCCTTCCTCGGCCCACAGCCCATTCCCACTCAGGATATGCCCCCACCATCCTCGCCCTGGAGCTGCTGAAGGGGTTAATCCACTTTGCACAAAACCAGATGGGAAAATGTTTGCTGATAAATGAGCTCCTGAAAAATTAATGGTCCTAAATGGTCTTCCAGGGGTTCTTCCCCCCAAGAGAGGTGGGAGCAGCCCAAATCCCAGCTGGGAGCTACTAATGGCAGGAAGGAAAGGGCTTTGCTGGGCCCTGCTCCAGATGGGATCCCGCACCCCCGGGACGCCCCGCCATTACCGGGGTGGCCATGAGGCAGTGCTGGGGCTGGCCCAGATCAATTAGCAGCTGTTCCATCATTATCCTACCGGACACACCAGCCGGGCAGGCGCTGGGGATGGGGCTCTGAGCTCCAGGAGTAAAGCCAGGCTCTGATCTGCCTCCCGAGGCCGGCAGGCAGGGGCGGCTTCTGCTTGCTGCTGTGGGCAGACGCCCCATGTGCCCACAGCAGAGCCCAACAAGCCTCTCAGGAGCCTTGGAGGGGATAAGGGCTGTGTTTGATGACTCCTTGATTGCAATTAGCTGCTCCAGCATTGGTTGCCAGCCCTGGAAGGAGATCTGCTGGAGGGGTCTCTGCTGGTGTTGAACTGCCCTGTGGGAGGAGGCACAGAGGGGGCATGGGGCAACTCACCCTCCTGGTGCTGGGGTCTGACGTTTTGGAGGTGCTTGGGTGCTTTTTGGTGTGCAGTGGGATGCCCAGCTTGGGGCCACTCTGCAGTGGGTGTCATGTAGGAGATGCTGGTGGTGGTGGGACCCTGGAGCTGCCACCACTCCTCGCTCAGGAGCAAACTCAGCCCGGTGCTCTGCGGTGCCTCTGAAGACAAGGCTGGCTGGTCTGCGGGATGCTCAGCTGACCCCAGTCCTTCTCCCAGTGCCTCCCCCCGCTGCCATCTCCATCCTCAACGAGTGATGTTGTGACAGGTCCAGCGAAGGGGAAAGGGAGGCCCCACTCACTGCCGGGGCCTCTCTGCCTCTGGGCTGGCAGCAGCCCTCAGCCCTGGCTGTGCAGTGTGCGGGAAGGGGGTGTCAGGACCCCGGTGTGGGGGTGCGGAGCCGCTGGTACAGGGGTCCCCACCTGGAAAGGTCACAGTGGCCATGGGGAGTGAAAGGACCTAAAATGAGGAACATCTGAGGAAGGAGGCAGAGAGGGGGTGTGGGATGGGTGGAGAGAGGGAGAGAGGGAGGGAGGGAGGGAGGGAGGGGCAGACAGATGGGCAGACAGAGGGCACATAGGGATGAATGCATGGATGTGTGGGTAGATAGATGGAGGGACAGAGTGAGGGTATACAGGGAGGAATGGCTGCTGGCTGGACAGCCCAACCCCTCCATTGCCCACAAATTGCCCAGGATTGGCTCAAGCCCAGAGCATCCCAGCTGGGCAGTTAGAGAAAGCAACCCAAATCCTGCCCACCAAGCACATGTGCACAGGAGGGGGCTTGTGATGGAGGGGATCCCAGGGCCTCACCGGGGCTGTGGGAAGGCTGCCCCGCGGTGAGCTCAGCCCTGCAGCACAATTAAGGGCTGCACAGCCCTGAATCCTTTCCCTGCCACAGCCCCTTATCTGATTAGGGACCAGGGGAGGCCTAAAAGCCTCCGGAAAATCAAACTGCCTGAACCAAGCCAAGCGAGGGGGTGACTGGAGAACCAAAGCAAATGGGCTTTTCTCCTCCTCTTAAGTGCTTTTCCTTGTCTGTCTTTCTGTCTTGGCTGGAGAGGCAGGGAAGAGGGAGGGAGACAGGGGTGACAGGTGTGTTGGGGCAGTCGGGTGTTCTCTAGGGGGATGCTGATGTGGGGATGATCTCCTTGTCCTGGAGACGTGGCCACCACACTCTCTCCTGCATCCCTGCAAGGTCCCAGGCAGCACCGTATGTGGAGCGAGGCTGGAAAAGATTCTGCATTTAGTTTTTCTGTCTTGTGCATGTACAGGTGGTGGTGAGATTTGGGTGGAGGGTGGCAGTAACTCCCCCAGGAGTGGGGTCTCTTTGCAGGCAGGGACTTGCAGGCCCTGCCTCCTACTTGCCTCCCTGCTGCCCTCCGGCCTTCCCAAGGTCTAGAAATAAATGGTTGTGACTCCGGAGGCATTTGGAGATGTTGAATGTCCCTCCTCACCCCTGGCCACCCCTTCAGGCTCATCAGAGAAATCAGCTACAAAGTCATCAGCCTTGCAAGAGGGAGCTGGGCTGGGGGCAAGGCTCTCCCTGCCTGCTCCTGCCTGCCAGCCTGCTGCCCACCCTGCCACCTGCCCTGCTCCGGGAGGGTGTAAATCCAGAGGGTCTATAGGGTCT